CGGAGCCGGCCGCGGGGAAGGTAGGATGGCGACGGCGACTCTCTGAGCGTCTTGGCACCGTGGAACAGGCTGTCCTGTAGAAAGTAGGGCAGCTGCAGCAAGGACCTGTTGCTTGGATGGCCACCCCTGCGGTCCTGTTGGGCTCAACAGGGCCGTCTCCGGGCTTGCTCCCGCCTCCCACTTCTTGCTTGGTCTCCGGGGGCTCAGAGCTGCCTGTGTCCTTCCCGCCTCTGTCCGGATCTGGGCTCGGCCTCTGGCACAGTGCACCGGACGCCCCGAGCCCTGCCCGGCAGGCCACTGGAGCTGCGCTTCTGGAAGAGTCTGAGGGGGGTGTGTGCTCTGAGGCCCAGAGGACAGACGGGTCTGCGCCAGTTTCCGGAGGTCTGGAGACGAGGCACTGCAAGACCAGCTGCCCGCAGAGTCCGGCAGGGTTCCCGGGAAGCCTCGCTTTTGTCCTGCTGCCTCCCCCACCCCTCTCAGAAAACCCCAAGGGAGGAGAGGCTCCGGCCCAGGAAGGGGGCCAGTGAAGGAGGAAGATGGGCTCAGGCTGGCCTCCCACGGCCCCAGGCAGGCACTGCAGCCCCAGGCAGGCACTGCAGCCCCAGCCTTCCCCTCCTGTGGCCTGGTTGTGTGGCGGGCTTCCCAATCTGGCATTGCTGGTGCCCTCACCACCCCCTGTCGCCCCTGCAGCTTGCTGAGCGAGAGCGAGAAGCGGCCCTTCGTGGAGGAGGCCGAGCGGCTGCGTGTGCAGCACAAGAAGGACCACCCCGACTACAAGTACCAGCCGCGCCGCAGGAAGAGCGTGAAGACCAGCCAGGGCGACTCGGACACTGGCGAGCTGGGCCACCACCCCGGCAGTGCCATGTACAAGACTGGCGCCGGCCTCGGGGAGGCACACCACCATGGCGACCACACAGGTGGGCTGGAGGGCCTGTGGTGGGGAAGTGGACATGGGGTCCAGCTGTGACTGGGATGCTCCGGGGGTGGGGCAGGAACTGCTCCAGAGTACGCCCTCACCAGGTCTTGCCGCGTGCCCTGTGAAGGCCCCCTGGAGCCTTGTGGCTGTCTCTGAGGGACGTGTAGCCTCCGGGCACTGAGGCCTCGCTCGGGAGGGAGTGTTTGCGTGGGACCCACCCAGACGGTGCCAGCAGCCCAACCTCAGACTCAGACTGACCGGCAGAGTCATGGCCTCCGTCAAGCTGGCTGATTGTGCCTTGGCTTCCTGGGCTGTGCACAAAGAGCAGGCCTAGCTTCCCGGGTTGGGGCTCCCTGTAGCCGTGCACACGGCCCTGCGTTCCCTGTGTGTCCTGAAAATACTAGTTCTGTGTGGGCCAGACCTCCCACCTCCTCCCGCCTTGATCTTCTCGGAGAATAGCGCCTTGCGGGAGTTTTCTCGGCCAAGGAGGGAGGTCTGGGCCTGACTCTGCTGGGATTTCTGGGAAACGTAAAGAAACAAAAAGCCGTTGATTCCCACCTTGGGCAGTGAGCTCTGCGGTGTTCCTCCCTGCGCCCCGCGCCAGCCGCCACCCCACCCGTCCCACAGAAGGTGCATTCATCCCCGCTCTCTGTCCTCAGGGCAGACCCATGGGCCGCCCACTCCGCCCACCACCCCCAAGACCGACCTGCACCAGGCTGGTGCTGGCAAGCCAGAGCTGAAGCTGGAAGGGCGCCGCCTGGTGGACAGCGGGCGCCAGAACATCGACTTCAGCAACGTGGACATCTCGGAGCTGAGCAACGAGGTCATGGGGAACATGGACGCCTTCGATGTCCACGAGTTTGACCAGTACCTGCCACTCAATGGTCATGCAGCAGTGCCTGCTGAGTCTGGCCAGGCTGCTGGCTCCTTTGGGGGTGCCACCTACTCACACGCCGGGGCGTCCCCCGTGTGGGCCCACAAGGGAGCCCCGTCAGCCTCCGCATCGCCCACTGAGGCTGGCCCCGTGCGGCCACACATCAAGACGGAGCAGCTGAGCCCTGGCCACTACGGCAACCAGCCGCATGGCTCGCCTGGCCGCTCCGACTACGGCGCCTATGGCGGCCAGGCGAGCGTGTCCGCAGCTGCCCCTACCACAGCCACTGGCTCATTTGCCAGCTCGCAGTGTGACTACACTGACCTACAGTCCTCTGGATACTACGGCGCCTACCCTGGCTATGCACCCGGCCTCTACCAGTACCCCTACTTCCACTCACCGCGCCGGCCCTACACCTCGCCCCTGCTCAACGGCCTGTCCCTGCCGCCCGCCCACAGCCCCCCTAGTAACTGGGACCAGCCCGTGTACACCACCCTCACCAGGCCATGAGGCACTGCGCCACGGGAGGGGCTTGCGGGCTCCCAGAGGATGGCTTCTGTCCACCCAGACGGACCCACTCCAGGCCTCCCGGTGTGTGCCCCGGGGCAAAGCAGCCAGTGCCTGCTGATGTCTGTGGAAACCACCATCCTGGGCCCCCTGCCTCCTAGTCTCCACGCCTCTGCCGCCAGACCAGACAGAGCTCTCTCTTCCTTTTTTCTCTCCATCTCCGAGGTGGCCAGTGACCCTGCAAGGAAGGGTGGCCGTCTGGTCCTTCTCCTGTGGGGACCTGTGATGCCAACCCCTTGGGCTTGTGCCTTAGTAGGTGAAAACGGAAAAGCAACGGTACCCAGGACCAAAAGAGGGGGCGGCGAGAGCTCAGCTGTGTGTTCTGAGGGCCAGGCAGCCTTGGCCCAGACGATGGCCCTTGCACTGACGATGGCGCTCCCTGGACGGTGCTCTGGTGGACGGGCATCTGTCGTTTTGGGGGCAGCGTCTGTATGAGTCCCCGCCTCCGGGACCACCAGTGAACCCGAGGGCTTCTTGTAGTCATCGTTCTTGCAAAGAGGTTTGGCTGTGGTTAACACTTCTCTTTATTCTTATTTTTTTGGTAATTTTTATTTTTGAGGCTTCAACGTGTTTGTTTTGAAAGCTGTTAAAGATGTATTTATGTTCTGTATTATTTTATCTTTAATTAATGAAGTAATTTGTGCAGAGTAGAATTTAAGATGGAATGAACACCGGGGAAGCATCATCCATGGGCAGGCGGCATGGCCATGACCTGGCTGTGGGCCTGGGTCATGCTCCAGGCTTCAGGTTTCAGGAGGCAGGGAGACCCGGGGCCAGAAGTCAGAGGGAGGAGGAAGGATTTGCCTCAGGGCATCTCTGGTCAGGCTGGGGTGCTGGCACCTGAGGGATGTTGGGACTGGAGGCGGGAGCCCATCCCTGCCCACGTCTGTGCCACACTGCGAGAGATGGATTCCTGGGAATGGTGGCTTCAGAAGCTCATGGTCCTGGCTGGGCGCCAGGTACCACCTGCCAAGCTGTGAAACTAACCCTCCCACTGATGACGCGAGGCTGGTGAGACCTCCCGCGCATGCTGAGCTCTCACCACCTATTTCACAAAAACTTGTGCCTTCATGACTTTGTATATTTAAGTGCATCTGAGAAGTTGCTTCTTTCTACTTTTTCTACTTTTCCTACTTTTTTCTAGAAAAAAACGTTTTTTGCGTCTCTGGGGGTTGGGGGGAGCCGTGACACTCATTTTTATGCAATCTATTTTTCGGCATCAAGCTCTGAAGATGCGCTGTCACTCGCCTGCTGCATTTCAGTTTCTGACCAAGCAATGCTAACTTTTGTACAGATCAATTTGATAAAATTAAAAAACTGCTTTTTATCTACTTGGGCTGCGGTTCGTGTGTTGCTTTCTTGGGCTCAGGCCCCCATGTGAAGGTGCCCGGTGAAGGCACCACAGCTCTGCAGGCCCCCCGTGGTCATGGTGTCCCTGCTCCCTCTGGCCCGGAACATGGGGGACAGGCCGGAATCCATCCAGATCCAAGAGTGGTTGGGTGGCCCTCACTCTAAGCTGTGGGCACCAGCGGGCTCAAGTCTGAATCTTGACGCCTCGCCCCTCGCAGGAGACTTGGGGAAGCAGCCTGTGTCCTTCCTGGGGGCCTCCCCACAGGCAAAGCAGGTCCAGATGGCACAATTCGGGCCATGTTCCTCCTCCCAAATGCTCCAGGGCGGGTTTCTGGGAGGCTGCGGCGGGAGCCTGGCAGCATTCCCCGGGCCCTGGCGCGGAGCCAGACTGGCAGCGGGATGAGAGGCGCCCGCAGGGCCGGCCGCACCGACTGCCCAGAGGAAGGTTTCCAGAGAGAAAACGGCTTGGGGAGGGACAGCCAGTGGGGGGCAGACCAGTCCCCTTTCAGGCCCCCTGGCCCTTTGTGGGTGGGGGGTATCCCTGGGCTATGTGGATGTGGCTTCTGTGGCGGCTGGGTCTGGGGGGAGGATTCTGCTTCTCACAGACATTGACCGGGAGACGCAGATGCATCTTGATCTGGGGGGGGGGTGGCCCGTATAAAGGGCTCCTCCCTTCTGTCCCCTGCCTGCCCAGCCACTCCTCCTTGCCCTGGGCATCCAGAGTCTGGGGCTGGCCAAGAGCAGTGTCTGGGAAGAGTGGCCCCATTTCCCAGGGGGCTCGATGGCTGGTGTGTGCCAAGCCCCTGGGTGCAAAAGAGTCTGGGGAGAGGGTGCCCACAGCCTTCACAGCCTGCTGCCCTCGGGAACTCTCCCAGCCCATCCTGAGTACAGCCAAGGGCTGTCCAGAGCATTGGCCCTCAAGCCCACACCCTGACACCCCACACAGAGGAGAACCCTGGGTGTCTGGCTGCCCGCAGAGCCCAGGGGCCCCTCTGCTGCTGGGACCCGCTACAGTTTGCCAGGTTCCTGAGGGCTGGAGGCGCCGCTAGTTTGTGTGGACTTGGCGGAGCGCCTGCACGTTAACCCTTCGGGGCCCAGGCCCTGCCTCGCTGCCTGCCTGCGGGCACAAAGCCCCATGGTGCAGGCCTGCTGCACTTCTGTGGGTTTTCCTGTGCAGCCACATGCATGTCGAGGACTGCCACCCTCTCACCTGGGCTGAGAGGCCCCGCATCCCACCCTCGACTGTCCTTGCCATCCAGTCCTCTCCTCCAGTCCTCTGGGCTCCCAGCCTTGGTCTGGTGACCTCCCTACTCTGTGCCCTGTGGGAGGCTGAGCCCAAGGCCTGCAGTCCTGTGGGTCCCCAGGTACCCCACCCCCAGGGCTGTGCTGAGGAGGCAGCCAGGGTGGACACCTCTGGCCGGTGTGGGCTTTGTGTGCGAAGATGAATTCTCCAGAGCTGACAGTGTTGCCCTGGGGTTGGCAACACTGGCAGGAGGGGCCTCGGCTTCCTGTGCTCCGCAGCGCTGCCCTGATCTCAGCTGCGAAAGGCCCTGGGCAGGCTGAAAGGGGAACCGGTGCAGCCACCCCACCCCAGCTCTAGACAGCTGGAAAAGCCCCATCGTGCTGGGCAGCAGCAGCTCTCAGGGACCCACGTGGGCCGGGGAGTGAGCTGGAGGCCAGCATGATGGTTGGCTCTGGGGGCCAATGTACTTTGAGCAGCTGCATGGGTGAGGCCCGTGGTCCCTTTTACCACCTCTTCCGGAGAGCCAGACTCACGGCCTGCTCGATCTACGGTGGCCACAGTGAGGGGACATACCAGGATGGGGTGTCATAGATCTGGGGTTCTGCTCTCTCCTCCCAGCATCTGGCCAAGGCCTCGGCCCAGCCCCAGATGGATGGTCTCCATCAACTCTGTCTCTATAGGTGCTGGGCTTGGGGTGCATGTCTCTGGTGGGCGGCCAGTGAGGGCTCATGCCGGCTGGCTTCCCGGCAAACTTGCGGAGGCAGGCCCCGGTCGGAACTGGCACTTAGTCTGAATCCACTACCGTCACCCCCAGGTCCGTGTAGACCCCAAGATGAGGGTGACATTTGCCCCACTACGGACTCGGGCACAGAACCATTCCTGAGGACAGGAGACAGAGCTCAGCACTGTGCCCAGATGCCAGTACTGGCCCCTCCGGGGGGACTGGTGGGCATATCAGGCAGCAAGAAGACGCAGACTTGGGACACCTCTGCTTGGGCCCTGCCCACGAAGATGTCCCCTTCTCCTTTCTGGGACCAGGAGCCCTGGCCCTGCCCTGCCCCCACAGCTGGGCTCTGTGGTCCAGTCCCAAGGTGTGGCCACTGAGGGTACTTCAGGACCGCCCACTCCCCTTGCCAGGGTGTCTGGGAGCTGCAGGGACCCACCCTGTCCCCTACCCCGGGAACTCCAGCATTCTGAGTCATGGTTGTGGTGGGGAGGAGCATGGGTGTCTGGCTGCCCCTTTGTCCCCTGACGCTCCCACCTTCTGTCACATTCTGGGGCCCCCTGTGTTCCAGAGGGAGCACAGGACAAGCCCCAGGTGGGGCTGTGGGAGCCTCTGGAGGAAGGAAGCGGGGACTTTGTGCTCATGGTAGGACATCCTAGAGTCTTTGACATGGGGCCCAACACCTGTCCTACCTGCCCTGCCTGACCCAGGTTCCTGCGGTAGGGGCCCAGTGCCCACCCTAGAGCAGCTATGTCTGAGTCTCACTGGCTTTTGGGCATATGGCCTCCCCTGCCTTGGTTTCCTCACCTATAAGATGGGTGTGGTCCGGGCTGCCGGGGACTCCGTGAGATCAGGCCCAGCACTGGGGTGACTGGTAGGGGCACTGTCACTGCCTCAAGTGCCGATGAGCCCTTTTGCTCCTCTGAAAGATAAGGCACCAGCAAGAAAAAGTAAAACCTACAAAGAACACGCTAGCATCCTTCCCCTCACCCCACCCGAGCTCCGTGGCCCCTCGGCCTTCTCCTGCATCCACACAACTGACCAGAGCGGGCCAGTGGTTAGAATCTCTGCCACTTGCCGGTCGACCTCTGCAGGCCTCAGTTTACCCGTGGCTATGGGATGGTGACAGCCTCACCAAGGGACCCTGTGGAACAGTAACTGAGCTTGGTGTGGCCATGGCAGGCACACTGGCCTGCCCTCTTGTTGGCCACATCTGAAGTGGACTTGTTCCCAGGATCCCAGATCCCTGTGCAGCAGACACACCCGCCAACCTCCTTGTCCTCCCTTGCCTTCCTCAGGGCTCCATCCTTGAGGCCCACCAAGGGCAAGTACGACCCTCGGGGCCTTCCTCCAAGGTTCCCCAGCAGGTTCAGCCCAGGGATCCTGCAAAGGGTTAAGGGGTGCGTGCTACCATGCCCATGGCGGGGCGGAGCAGCCGGGCTGGTGCAGGCCAGAGCGCTGGTGAGGGCGCTGCATTTTAATGAATCATTATTGCCAGCACGGCTTTGTCTTTCTTTATCCGGTGCACGATAAAAGAATTAATTAGACAGAATGGCAGGGCAAGGGACTGACACGTCATTAGAGGCGGCTGGATGCCCCAGAAGAGGCGTGCAGGGGGGCCCCGCT